GTTGATTCCTCCATTAGTCTTTCACCAACCCAGTCTGCTCCCCACTCTGTCTCTGGTGGACCCTCTCACCACCCCTGCACCTCAGTTCTGTATGCATAAATAAATAAATCTTAAAAAAAAAAAAGGCTTAAGAGACATTTCAACAAAATGCATGCAGTGCATGAACTCTGAATGGGCTAAATGGGTGCCCAATAAAAAATCAAATTTAAATATTTATATGACTTTATATTCAATAGGATGGGTTATGGTTAATTTCAGTTATACTATATCAGTACACAGTAACATATTCTTATTTCTAAGGTGAGGTATGGAGATGCATAAAGAATAATTAGGGGCAAAAATTATCATGATTTCTAAACTTATTTTCAAATGCTTGCAGAAAATGTATTTATACATACATACATACAAACAGGTTTTTCCCTTTATATTGACAACATATATATGAATTTTAAAAATATGCACTATGCATATTATATGGACACACATCAACTCATTCGGTCAGATATATAAATAAAGCTACATATGATCATACACTCATTTCAATTAAGCAAACTTGCATTGTTTACTTAATACTTTTGATTTTTTTTTTTCTGATGGGGGTTATCTAAGTTCCAGTTCTTCTAACATGAATAAAAGAGCATCCATATGTGAAACACCACCTATGAATGTTTCACAGGTTTTAGTCATTCTTTATTTTGAAACAAGGAGGCAGAAAGCCTAAGTTGTTTCTAAACAAGAATCCATTTTAACAATAAAATTCAAAGAATGAAAAGAGTGATTTTTATTTTGGATGGTATATAAACATGTTCAATGAAATTGGAAACTGCAGTTGAAGCTTCGTTTCAATAGAGCAAAATTTCATGTACTTTTTTTTCTTTGCTCTGGATTTCTAAAAAAAGTGAAAGGGCTTAATATATGAACGAGTGAGAAAACAATATATGACTTTGCATAACACATTTTCAATTATGGTTCAGTTGTTGTATTTAAGTACAATAAGATATGAACCAGTTCTGCAAATAAAATGAAAAAAGGACATATCCATATACCACCTGTATTTTTGCTGCTAGACAATTCTAGTATTACAAAAGAATAAGAAATTGCACTTGTTCACTTAATCTAGGAAACATATGATTTGGATATAAAACAGGAGAATGGAATCTTTTCTACCTTAGGGGATAAAATACTGGGAAATAAAACAGCAAGACCATCCATAAAATAACAAACTTTTTCTTTTTTTTAAATAAGAAAGATTTAAACTAAAAAGAAGTAAGCGTTAACAAATGATTATCTGTCTGTGGGCTATAATATAAAGACCTGTTCCCTCTTCAACTAAATAAGGCAAAAATAAGTTAAGGATTTTTAGATTAAGCATAAATAAAAATTTATTGTCAAACAGATCCATGAGCTACATGAAGATTATTCAAAATAAAACTGTAAGTTTAGGGATCTTTATGATGTATTTATACTGATTCAGGTAACATTTACTTGGAAACCATTGACTAGGTATGCTTTCTAGCTCTGGAATCCAGGGACACTTTTTTCCAAAACACTAGAAGCAATTTTAAAATTTCATTTAATGACACTGCCTAATCCAAAGTGATTTTGTTGATCTATTAAAAAAGTAAAGAAATGTAAGACAGAGGCTAAATATTTTCAGTTTGTGTGAGTGGTTATTATCTTTTTTTTTTTTAAGATTTATTTGTGTATACAGAATTGGGGTACAGGACAGAGGTGCAGAGGCGGTGAGTGGATTCACAAGAGACAGAGTGGGGAGCAGAACAGGCTGACGAAGTACACTGCTGAGAGGAGCAGCAGGAGGGTCAGGAGAGGTCTGCCACGCCATTTGTGTCACCTTCCCTGGCCAGGAATCGAACTCATACTGAAGTGGCTTTAGCTTCTTAGTGCTGTGCTTTAATTGGCTGTGCCACCAGGGAGGGCCCTGTGGTTGTTATCTTATTGGAAATGTACCTTTTATACTAAATTAAAAACATTTTTTTCTATTAAATATTTTTAGGGCTTGATGATACTTTCCAGACATAAAAAATTAAAGGAACTTTCTGTAGCAGAGTGTTATAACATCACTGATAATGGAATTCAGGTAAGGTAATTATACAACAAGATAAAAATAGTAAGGTTTTCTGTTAAAAAGAAACCACAAATTGAATAAACTTTGTAGATAACAGTAAAAAAAGAAGTGAATTGGAAATATAATAACACATATATCTTGGTGGAACTAAGATCAACACCAGACCTCAAGTTAGGTGTCACAGTCTACTGTGACTTGAGAGAATTTGTTTTCCTTTTTTCATGTCCTTTCTCCCTTCTTGATATTAGTATCATGGGTTTAGTAAGTATGGACAATAAGGAATGGCTATATGGTAAAAGTCTTTTATGAAGAGAAAAATGTTATCTAATCTAATCACAAAAATTAAGGGAGTTTAAAAAAACTAAGGAAGTTTAAACATTTACTATTTACTCAACAATTGGGAATGTATGTTACTCATACATAGTTGGAAGTAAACTTTACCAGCAGGCATGGAAAGCCTGAGATAAGTAATTGGATAAGATAAATGATTAAGTGCACAATTGATACTCGAAGAACTCATGAGAAGGTACCTTTTCTAGATCTAGTCTTGAGTGATATGCAAGAAGTCATAAAGTAGCTAGTGCAAGCAAGCCCATGCAATATTTGTCATAATACTAAATATTAAATGTATTGTTAAGAGAAGAAAAACCTAAATCATATGGCATACATGTACTGAAAGACCACAAAATGTGGTCACCTGCCAATAAAATCATGTAAGGTAACATTTTAAAATGGAACCAAAAATCAAGGCATGTAGAAAATGAAGCTCCATTTTAATTGTCCAGAGAGTTGTTTATGAAAACTGGGCATGGAGAGGGGAAGAGAGAAAAGGGAAACTTTCTCACAGAGATTAAAGAATTTATACGCGATAAGATAAAGGAGTGTTAAAATACATACACTGATGAGAGAAATCAAATGATGCTTTAGACTACCATATTCTAGAATTCTAGAGCTGACGCAATGTTAGAACCATCTAAACCAACTCTAATTTTACAGATGAGGAAATTAAGGCCGAGAGAGCTTAAATGACTGATCTCAAGTACTATACGTTCTCAACCAACTATACACATAAACTTTATTCATAAATATGACCTCCTCAGACTTTCCAGAAATCTTTATAAGGTTGCAGAACAAGGGTTAAATTAAATAGTTAAATATTTCAAACACTGGGTTACATTGCATCCATGGTGATTAATTATATTTGACTAGTAACTACAAACCATTTAGAAGTACTGAGACCTATCATGGTAATGACATAGCTGCTTATATTCTTCATTAATTACTTGTAAATGTTACTTGGGCTAAGAGAGTGCTGAACAAAGTTTGAGGCTCTGCCATTTCTCCTTGAGTCTAATGGGTTCCAAGCATTTTTAGTCATTGTTTGGAGACTGAAAATTATACTATTTATAGGTACTTTGAGATTTCAAATGAAGTCCATATGCTAACTGTATAAATGTACAATAGAGTTTGGGACAGCTAAAAAATATGATCTTTTGAAAATTGGTATACATTTATATTCAGTGATGTAAAGGAGAACATAGAGGAATACAGGAACATGGAAATATAGAATTAATTATTAGTTGCAGAAGATCAGCTGTTATTTTCAGCTGAAAAAAAATCATAATTTTTCTCATCATGACTTTCTCCTCCCTGCTTTTGGAACATGTGTGTGTGTGAGAGAGAGAGAAAGAGAGAGAGATCGAGAGAGATAAGAGACTTTTAACCAATTTTATCTCAGTGTTTCCAAGTTCACATTTCTGGGTATGTAGCAATCTCCTCCTTGCCTTCTCCAGTTCAAATATTAAGTCCCAAGAGAGATAAAGGGGGGGGTTGTGGAAAAGAAAGTAACATGTAAGACAATTCTATAATTTCTCATCTAAATTTACAGGAGAGAAGGGAATGGAGTAAAATAAAATGATTAATTTGAGACATTTAGATATCAGCAAATTTTCTGGAAATTTTCTCTCTTGAATAGTTACTTTACAAAAGGTAACTATAGAAGATTCTCTCTTAAGCACAAGACATTAAAAACGTCCATCTACGTAATTATTTAGCAAGAAAAATAAAGAGATACATATTTTTACCCTGTTTAGGTTTTGCAAGAGTTACGAACATAAGAATAAGAAATTACCTCATTTTAGTGTTTCACTGGAAGCCACAGCACATCCAGATTGAATGTCTGGAGACTCAAATATATTGACTTTTTAGGGTCTGGTTTTAATTATTTTTTCAACTTTATTTTTTTCCGAGAACTTTAGACATTTAGTGATCATGTCAAAAAAATTGGTGCTTTTGAAAGGCACATGATTTTGGAAGAGATGTTTGATAGCGTTGTAATTAAATATTTCTCAAGAAACTGTCCTTGAGCATTTTATGAAGTTAATTAACACTGTCAAGTTTAGCAAAATAATTGGATAAATTGGGTTGTTACTGGAAGCTCTGTCCTAAATTGTTTGGATAGAAGCAATGGAGTAAATTCAACCATTTACTTGGGCTGCTTTTCATATTCTCTTAATCTAGTTTATATTTCCTCATTCCCTTTTTGGGAGTGTGAATATGAATGCACATATTTTTCCTTATCTTTTTAAAAAGATTTATTCATTTATGCATATAGGAACTAGGGTATAGGCCAGAGCTGTGGGGGTTAGGAGGGGTATGGTGAGTGGATTCACCAGAGACAGAGTGGGGAGCAGAAAGGTCGATTAACTGAAACACACTGCTGAAGGGAGCAGCGGGTAAGACAGGAGAGGTCTGCCCTTCTGTCACCTTAAAGTGCTTTAACCAGTTGTGCCACTTACATGGCACATTTGTAACATGTTATATAACATGTTATAACATGTGATTAAAATTATGCAGTTTGCTAAAAGAATTATATTATTTTGCGGTTGGTAGATTGAGATAGTTAACTAAGAAAGGACATTACAAACTAATAACAAACCCTAGAAATCTGACTGTAGAACTGAACTCACCACAGGGGGAGGGTGAGAATAAAATGGGGAAGGAGCGCAATGGACTTTAGGTCCCTGAGTGGTGGGTAACATTACCTGAAGAGGGGAATCCTATACCTCTCAAATACAAACAGCACTGTAATCCAATGTCACTTAATTAAAAAACAAGTAATTTATATCTATTTGTCTAATATGTGTATAAATTCAACATATGCTCTAGTGCATGCACATGTCAATGTATATGTACAGTTATTATGTGTAGGCTAATTCCAAATAAATAGTGCTCAAACTTCAAAGCAAATAATAAGAATTAGCCTGTTAAAGTAGTATTTGTTTGCTTATTCCTTAACTTAAAAAATTAAATGTCCATGTAAGGAACATAGCTCTTTCTTTTATGAAATATGTACATTAAGTTTGGCAGCAACAGCAATAGTATAATAATAGGAATGGGGCCAGACTATCAAAAGCTCAATTTTCATTTCAATTCTGCCCCTTACATGGCCACATGACTATAAGCAATTTAGTTATACAATTCATTGCTCCTATCATGTCTATTATTGTGAGGCGGACAGGAGTTGGTATGCTAGAGCAGGGGTCAGCTTTTTCTGTTAACCTTTCTGTAAAGACTTTATGTAAGAGCCAGATAGCTTATATTTTGGGCTGTAGGCCATACAATTTCTGTTGTACTTAATCAACTTTGCTATTATAGCATAAAGAAGTCATAGATGGTATGTAAACAAACAAGTTACTCTGTTCCAATATAATTTTATGCACAATAAAAGCTGAATTTCATAGAATTTTCACATCATGAAATATTATTCTCCTGATTTTTTTCAACCCTTCAAAAATGTAGAAGTCATTCTTAGAGTGTAGGCTATTCAAGTACAAGTCACAAGGTAAGGCCTACAGGCAAAAATTTGGTAGCTTACCAGCATGTGTTATAGAGTCAGACAAAATTTTCCTATTTTGGCTCTGTCAAATTAGGTTCCTTCCCTGGGTTTTAAATCCTCACTTATGAAAATAAATGGACTAATAAAAGTTTTTTAGTTGTAAGGATTAAATATGAAACATCTAAGTACACAGTGAGGTACCTGACACAGAGGGTGTAGTGAATATTACCTATTATTATTATTCTATTTAATAAAAAAGAAAACATATTAATAAATAATAAATATGCTTTTTAGTACAACAGTTCAGTAATTTGACTGAAACAATCAGAAAAAGGTAATCTCAGCAGCTAAGTTAACAGTAAAGAGATATTTTCAAATGTCCTTCTGGAATTTACTTGTTTCATTTCTCTGAATAAATGGATGCATTTAAGTTTATGTATGTAAGAATATTTTAAAATTCTGCAATATTTCATAAACACTGCTATTATTCCTGAGAGAAGCATAAAGGAATAATGAATAAAAAGAAAATGGATCATTGCTTTTCTCTGGGATTATGATTTTAAGCATATTTTCAATATCTCAGTGCAGCAGCTTATTAATGTACACACTTAGGTGCTTAATTAACACTGCTTGTGACAATTTATGTGACCCTTAGACTCAAAATTTTTTTTTCATCTATATTAATCTAAATCCACATCTGTCTTAGTTACAATTTCTTAAGCATCTATCATGTGAGTCCTCTCTGGTTAAGCCCTCACCCATCTCACCTACGTACGGGTAAGTGCACTCAAAACTTTCAAGCAGAGGGTCTACTTGGGCAGATGGAACTTATATGTCTTTTATTTCTTTTTTTTTTTTTTGTCTTAGTTTATAGGTTAGGACTTTAACTAACATGACATTAAATAGGAGTGGTAAGGGAGGAGACCCTTACATTGTCCCTGTTTTAGGGGATAAATAGTTTCTTACCATCGTGATATTTAGCTACAGGTGTTTTGAAAATGCTGTTTATCAAGCTAAGGAAGTTCCCATCCTATTTCCAGTTTACCGAAAGGTTTTGTTTTTAATCATATTTTGTCAAATGCAACTTTGCATCTATTGATACGACCATATAATTTTTCTTCTCTAGCCTACCAATGTGATGGATTACATTAATTTATTTTTAAATTTTGAAACT